ATTGTCTATCAGACTATCACTATTTCACAAAGAAAAGTAATAGTTTTAGCTACAGCATATGACCGTAGATAAAAATGGTATTTTGAAAAAAAAAATACCTCTTTTTTTGGCTAAACCTGCACATTTTTTTTATCACTGAGAAAATATAACTTTAAGGAATCTTTAATAACTTAGGTTGCCTAAAATGAATGTTATAACTTATGTTACCTATTATTGTGTTTTTTTTCTTCTATAGAAGCTCTTATTATGAGACCTTCAGGCATCTATAATAATTCAAATATCTCCCTGTTTGCAAGAGCATCTAAAAAAAGTTCAAAATAAGCATGAACATGTTTTATTTGCTATGTCTAATCGGTTGATGTAGAAATATACTTGATGCGGCTAGTTCAATCTCCTGTTGTTTCTTCATATAACTCAGCAGTTGAATTCAATATCTTCACTAAGAAATTCATAAGCATAAGCCACACCTGTGTTCCAGATTGAAGTAATTGAGAAATCCCATCTTGTCCCCTAAAGATGATAGATGAAATAGTAATTAGAGTAAGACTTTGAAGGCCTCAAACCTTGGTAACATTGATAAACATGTTTTACATTGTAATTGATGGTTTACCTTGACAGTTGGGAAAACTGAATGAGGTGCTTTCACATACATATCTTTAACGGCATGGAGATTGGCATGGAGATTAGCAATCACTCTACACAAAATAGAAGCAAAACCAGGTTTATGAACAAAAACTGAGATGAATTCATTTTCTATCTAGTTAAGAAGCTGATTATTGCAAACTGAAATGATAAGTATAGTCTGCATGAAGAATATATAATATAAAGGGTTAATAAAAAATATATTTCAGAAATAGGTTACAAACATGCTGAGCTGAACAATGTTTTGGTCACTATAAATATATGCGACCTAAATCTGAGTTTAAGTCATTGTCAACAATAGTAAATCTGAGTTTAAGTCATTGTCAACAATAGTAAATTAGTTGGTAAGGGAGGAATAAGCTGAGTTTAAACTACCTCTATGTGATATGAATAAAAACTTGGGGAAATCGGAAACTTCAAACGAACACAAAAAGAAGAGAAAGTTACAGAAAGAAAAAGTACCTGGTGGCCGATGGCAATGGCAAGATGGGAATTGCAGGAGCGGCTACCAGTAACACAGTGCAGTCTCCAAGTATCGGAGACGGTGATAAAGGAAGTATCAAGATAACAGTCAATTTCCATTTCAATTCCGTTCATCTGAAGCGGAATAAGTGCCGCAGGATCTCACCGTCCGTACACGCATGGTTGGTAGCTTACGATGTCAGGGTTATCAACCATCCCTGGATAGTAAACCACCGCGTAAACCATTGATGCTTTAGGAATAAAGCCAACCGGTGAAATAGCCATTTTTTCGGTTCAACCTGTTAAATCGGACGGTGTGGTTCGGTTTTTAAAACATTTTGTGAGCTTATTAGTTATTACACATGTTAAGCACTGAGCCTCATAAACGTAAACGGGAGGAAAAAATGATACCATTATTATATGCTTCTTGTCACCAAGTTGAAGATACTTATCAAGTTGATACCATTATGTTCCTACTATAGTAATTAGTATATCTACGATCCAACACATTACCTGAATCAAGAGTTTGCATGCATATGGTAGCTTCATAGTAGAAATTAGGTCTCCATTCTTACAAGAACAAACACCAGTTTTCAATTTGTGGTGTAATATCCTAACAACCCACACTTTCCACAGACCTGTGAAAAGAAGGAAGCTGTCATCTCTCACTATAAAATTTCAAAACACTCTTTTCATACAGAACAAAAATTAATCAATTTTCAATAGCTATACTTATACATATATCTTCTTGCCTAATAATTAACATAATAATCTTTCAAGTGGTTGTCCTTGCTCATACATCAACATTACTCATAATTTAATATGCTCTTATTTGTTTTTCTAATACTAGGATGTTCTCAATTATATATATAAGATCATTATTTTAGTATATTTTATTTCCTTCTTTAAAGAGTGTGTTGCCTATTGAATAACACAACAATTTTTATCCAATCTTTTCTATAAAATGTTTGGAGCCAAATTGTCCAAAATATATCCCCTATAATATTGTAAGCAATTTTACTTGTGAAGTAATAAAAGTCTAGATGTTTCATCTAAACATCGTAAGGATCACTCGATAACATGAGTTGCTCAAAAATTAATCTAATTTGACCGTAAAAACAGAAACGGCAGGATATGAGAGATTGCCAGGTTCTACTGAAACATTGAATGCCAAGGTAAATCACTTATGGACTTCAACTAGCATCATAACTCAGAGCCTAACCACTATATCTGACATGATCTAAATAGGTAAAGAAATTCAACATAACCGCTGTGTGGTAGAAAACAAAAACCATATTTTAATAGTAAAATCTATCTATTAATCAAATTACTACAACTTGCATCTCATGCAAATAAGTGTTACCTTATCGGCCACAATATCATTATCATGCCCAATTGACAATACACAGCTGATCTGATGCATGTGAAAAACAGCAACACCACTGTTGAGTACTTTTGCTTAATAATGATCAACTAAGAGAGAGAAGAACACGAAGAGTGAGAAAGAGGAAAGTTAAAATCTAACCACAATATAACCAACTTCAAATGGGAACAGGTTTGTAGCACCATATAGATAAACACCACTGTTTCAAAATTTTCTAATTTATAATTTGTATCATAGATAGTGGAATCCAAGTCTTAATTTGTATCACATATAATTTCTAATTATAAAAACTCCAAAGTAGAAGCACCACTTGAGTAATGGACAAAAGCTAACATCTATCAAGACTAATTATAATGGAAACAATAGTAATCCCACCACCAACATGCCCAAAACCAAGAATTAGTTTTCCTAGCAGACGGAAAACAACTTGTAAACCTCCATTTTTTGCTAATCTCTCTGTAAGACTATTTGTCCTAAGGCTAGTAGTTATGCTTATGATGATACTAGTAGTCTTAATAGATGTAGGGCTCCAAGGTATGTTATCACTTTCTGTCATCTGTTGCCACAGTAACGAATATAGCGAAAAGAACTTGAAAATGCTGTCATAGAATTGCAAGGATTATGTTCAGTTTTTATTGAAGAGTTAAAATGTATTAGTTTTATTTGTGTTTTTAATTTGCATAATTATGTATGACACAATATGTAAGTGACAGAATACCCTCAAATCTCTCTTAAAAACCCAAAACCAAACATATTTTTAAAAGAAAAAAGGGAAATAAAACTCAATAACCTAATCAGCGCAGTACCAAACTTGCCTTCTTACTCTTCACAACAAGATCAGGTTGTATGTCAGTTAATTTGAAAAACCAAACTTGCCTTCTGACTTTTGTCCAATATCAGTAATATATTACCTACATCAAAGCAACAAAACTGCATCATTCAATCTTTCCAAACAGAACATTGTTTACAACTTTCCCATCTTCCTCAAAACAGAAAACTGTGCATCATTCAGTCCACTATGGCTAATGGTTGTAACTGCTATTCATAGAGGTAGGTATTAAAAGAGAGAAGGAAAAAATTGAAAAAAGAAACAAAAACTAAACAGGCCCTAAAAAATGAAAGTAGTTGCTAAGCATCTCGATTCATGTAATCCAATGAGCCAATACTCTCATACATATATATTAGAATTTGATTTGGAGAATATGATAAAGTGAATACTAAATAAATAACAAACACCTCTAGAAAACGGCGTGTCCGTGTTCATGTCGGGGTCGGACACCTGCACCGACACTTGTAATTACATTTAATTTATTCATTTTTTCAAATTATTAGTGATTCGCGGTGTCAATTTCGGGGTTGTGTTTGGGGTGTCCGTGCTTCATAGTAAAATACATCCCAGTACACAATTGGCCCCTCCTCGACTGAAAACTTCCTTCATAAAGATTACCTACTACTATGAGTTAATATGTTTCAAAATGCTTTTATTTACTTCCATAAGTCAAGAACTCCCAATATTTTCTCTCAAATACATATACGAAACCTGTTAAGATATTTCCAACACATACCATACAAGTACAAACCCACCTTTCTTCACAATTGTAAAAACTACACAAAAGACCAGAAAAAAACTTAATGGATCTTCAGAAAAATTAGTAAACTCGCATCATTTCAAAAAAAAAACAGAAACAATGCAGCATCAATAGTGATGAAATCCACATGAACCTGAAATTCTAGAACTGTACAACACCAATCTCCTATACTAACAATATTTCAAAATAATCCTAAAATCACTATTAACTTGAGCAGATCTTACTATACTATTACATAATCAAAATTGATATTTATTCATTTTATAAACTAAATCGGTGATTCAATCAAACATGAATTAGACAGTGAAGTCATAAAATCAAACAGAAACAGGAAGACGAGTCGAGTTGAAAGGGGAAAAGTACAAGCTAGGGTTCGTAGATTCGATCGGTGGTTGCGATTGCGAAGAAGATTGTTCGTGGTGGAACAATCAAGCTATAGTTAGTGATTCAAACGGTTAGGGTGTAGTTTGAGTATTTGAGCGATTTCAACTATTTAAGCGGAGTGATTTCAAACGATTATGGTTTTTATTTAAAGCTCTGAGTAATTTTATTTTAATTTTTAAAATAAAAATTAATTTTATAAAAATATAGTAATTATTATTAATTAATAATATTTATAACAAAGTAAAACTTAGTTTTAGTGACTGTGACTTGCTGTCTATTGGTAAAACAATATTAACTGACTGTGGGCATAAGTCATTTTTCTTAGTGCATATGCCAAAAAGTAGAGTTTTATAAATAACTTCAAAGTTGATAGTTGATACATAAACAGAAACAAGAAAAAAAACTGAAACCCAACTTAATAACCAATTCTTCAATTTCATCCTCATCATACATATAATATATATCACATGACCCATACTCGTCCTTAAATATTTTAATTAATTAACTATAACGACATTCATGACAGATATATCATGATATCACACGTGACCAACACCATTGCCATTGCCATTACCATTGGATGATGGCAATACATAAGATTGCATTTCCATATCATCTTTCCTAATATCTTCATCTTCTTCATCAGCAGCATCTTCCTTGTTATTAATTTCCTGGCTCTTTCCCCATAGAACACCATAAAGTCCAAAAACTATCAATAATGACCCAATTGCTGTTCCAACGTATAACTTCTCACTCATAAAAGCCCAACTAATCATAGCTGTGAGAATAAGCTGCAATGGTGTAAATACAGACCCATAAAGTGGCCCTTTTCTCTCTATTGTCCATGATATTACACAATATGCAAGTCCTGTGCAAATTACTCCCTGCAAACAAATTAATCTCACCGTCATAATCAATCAAAGAATATATTTATTTTATAAGAATGAGAAAAAAAATCAATAGGTTATTCGAACTTGTTATGTCATGTCAGCTATTAGATAAACTAAAGGGTTAAAATCCTATGTTTGAAAAAATTTCTGATCAAAATTGTATTTAAGCTATAGAGAAGAATATGTACCGAGTAAACAGACGCGGTAAGTCTCATAGCATCATGGAGTGACCAAGACGCGGCTTTGTGATCGATACACAAAGCAATGAACACGCACTGAAAGCTTGCCAAAAAACACATGTATGTTGTGCTTGTATAAGGTACCGGAAAGTTCCTACTCAAATCCGCCTGAAAATTTAGCAACATAAATTTCGTTATGTACGAGTTAATGGATTACTGAGAACACAGATACGACACTGACATGATATATAACGAATGTGCTTACTTGAATGACAAACCACGAGGACCAGATAAGAGCACTTAAAATTAAGAGAATGGGACCTAAAAGTGAGTTTGAGGTAGAACCAGAGCTATCACCACCACTTTGAACTTTCTCAGCATAACCCCAATGAATACTTGATTTACCAATTCCAATTACTTGTCCATGGTAGAATGATAAAAGTATTGCTCCTCCCACACACAAAACTGTTCCTACCACTTTTGATATGCCACTTTTCTTTCTTATTCTCAAATTCTCCTGTCTACAACCAATAATAGTTAAAATTAATAAAATAATTAATAATCTAATTTTTTTAAATTTAATATCTTCAACTATAATTTAATAAATTGTTACCTAAAGAGAACTGCAAGTATAAATGTAAAAGCGGGAAGCAAATTTGTGAGTGCACATGCAATTGTTGCTGTTGAAAATTTTAGCCCCAGAAAATATAGAACTTGATTTCCTGTTACTCTGCATTCGATTTTTTTAAATTAGTCACACAATAATATTTACAAAATAAATTTTAATAAAAATAGTAAATTGCGGATTAAGCAAAAAAAATTACCCTGTTATCGAAGATAAAAGTATTTGAATCATAATGCGCTTTGTCATCCTTGGAATCATATCACTGTAGAAAAGACAAAAAAAAAACTTAAATAAAATTTAACGTATAAACCTGTATAATCACTTCTCTAAAAAAAACTAGATTGTTTCTGTCACGTAACATAAACATGCATGTCATCATTGTTCTATTTTTAGATTGTCTATGCAAACTCTAAAGGTTGTTTTTATGTGTATTTAATATTGTTATTGAAGGTTGTGAAGAATAATAATAACCTGTGTCGTTTTTTTCTCTTCAAGATTATCTATCACCTACCATGAAGCTACTGAAGAATTAACTCTTAAATTCAGATCTATCAGCATGCATGATTAACTCTTTCCTCATGCATGAAGCTAACAATGCATATGTATGATTACATTCATTTTTTTATACATGCATGCAAGTATAAGTATATGTATATGTATATTACCGTTCAAGCCAATAAGCAAAGGGAGCAATGGCAACAGTTCCAAAGATTTGACGATAAGCAACAAGGATAAGAGGATTCATGCCACCAGCAAGAGCAAGCTTTGAAGTAGCATTCATCAATGCATAAGCTAGTTGAATAATAAGCATTAATATTAATGGAACAAAGCTAGAAAAACCCATTTTTCTGTTTCTCACTCTCTCTCTCTTGATTTGAACTTTCTCTATGGTGAGAGAGTGCTGAACAGAAAAACTTATAGAAGAAGAAGAAGAAAGAGTTGTACAAATGAAAGGTTAGAGAGAAACATGTATTTATAAGGAGAAAAAGTAAGGCATCAAGTGTTAGAAAGTGTGTTGAGTTATCACAAAGTGCGTGAAAAATAGAGCCTAGAAAACGTTTGCAACAATTGTTCCTAAACTTTTTTAAGGAAAACAAACGGTTACAAATCGATTTCTTGCTACACATTTTTTGGGTTTTTGTACAAGGTTGGAAGCTTTCACTTCATTTAGAGTCTTCAAGCAACTACTAATATGTTACTATAGGCATACTTCCAAATCTATTCCTTATTTTCCTCATGTCATTTATGATAAAATTAGTTTTTAAATGCTTTACAAAATCCTTTTTATTATTTTTTAAAAATATTCTTCTCATTACTTTATTTTAATGAAATATTAGTATAACGTAGTACTCACTCCATCTCAAAACGTGAAAAATAAATATTAGTATTACGTGTATTATTATTAAACTAATATGCTTATAAATTTAAAAGATATGAATTAAACCGCATAATGAGTGTTCAAGCCAACAAAATAAAAGAAAACATAAAAAAAAGACACAAATCTCAAAGATATCTTAAACAAAAGTAGTCAGAAATACACATCAATCCAACTACAACAAGTTTGTATCCGGTTTGCAAACTGGAAGAAGCCATTCTCAAACCAAAAGTTTAATCATACCAAACTCATCAAATTTGTTCACTATACCTTTTTCGAAAAAATAGCATTCCTACACATTAAAATCGTCTAACAGAATGCTAATTCGAAAATCCACACCATCTCCATTGTTTTCTTTTAACTTACGCTGAATTTATTGATAGAGAAATTAATTTTTGTAATGTTTATTTTAGTTGTTTCATCTCATTTATATAAATTTGATTAAAATAAAATATTTTAAATATTATGAAAACTTATACCAATATTATTAAACTTTGCATGGACTAAAAACATAACAATAAAGATATTAATTTGGTAATATTTTATTTCTTTTATTTACACATTCATTTTTTAAAATTGTCTCATAATTAATGTTAATTATAGTTTTAAGTGTAAAATTATTAATTATTATTTTTAATTGTACCGTCTAAGTAACATCTTATCTTTTAATCATTTATAGTTTTTTCTACATTTTTAAACAAGATTAGGCTGCATTATCATTGCTTGGTAGAGATGACATCAAACTAACTTGGCACCCAACAACTGCGTATTATTTCCAGTATATAAACAAATCTTAATAAGTAAATAAGGACAAACAGCTATTGCCCATTTTCTTAAAGAAACTGTGAATTGATTCGAAAATAATTAAACTATTATGTTTCAGTTAATAAATCGAAAATTGAACCATAAAATATATAAATTGAATCCAACTGAAACTTAATAGGAAGATTCTAAAATTTCATATTGGTTGAAGATAAAGTATTGAAATAGTTTAGATAGAGTGACACCCCTCACTTTACCAACCGGTTTTGTATGGTTGTGTTAGGCCAAACTCTAATATGGTATTAGAGCCTATCGATCGGACTTTGGACAACTCATCGTTTAAATCCACGCACCAAGTCCAAAAAGAGTGCTGGGCGTGAGGAGGTGTATTAGAAAAATCCTAAAGTTTCACATTGGTTGGAGATAGAGCATTGAAATAGTTTATAGAGTGACATCTCTCACCTTACCAACCGGTTTTGTAGGGTGACACCCCTCACCTTACCAACCGGTTTTGTAGGGTGACACCCCTCACCTTACCAATCGGTTTTGTAGGATAGTGTTAGGTCAAACTCTAATATGGTATCAGAGCCTATCGATCGGACCTTGGATGACCCATCGTTTACATCCACGCACCAAGTCCATTTTTTTTTAATTTTAATTAAAGAATACTAAAAACAAATTTTAATTTTTTTTTATAAAATTAACATATCTATTTTTTAACAAATGCTTCAGTTTGAAAAAAAATACTTTTTAACGGTTTAAAACAGTTCAAAGTTTTTAAACAGTATATCAAACCAATAATTTTGGTTCGATTTGATTTTAAATAAATTGAAACAATTCGATTTAGTTCAATTTTTTTTAACTATAATTAGGTTCAGCTCGTTTCAATTTTCTCATAAAATCATGCCATAAACAATCCTACTCTTTCTATTAAAAAAAGAAGAATATCATTTCTTCCTATTAGTAAATTATTTTTTAGTTTATAAAATATATTCAATTTAATTTTTTAATTTTTTTAAATGAATAGTTACTATTAATAAAAGGTATAATAAAAAAGAGTAGTAAATATATTAAATATTTTATAAATAATCTTACATTCTCAATTAAAAAAAATGCAAAGATTATCTTCACATTTTCCATAGTAATCTTACACACCAATGAGTGAAAATGGTGTTATAAATAAAAGATGTTTATAGCTGTAAATCTATGGGAGTATCAACAAATACAATAAATAAAGGGGACCCATAGCATTTGTCCTAGTTTTCACAGTCTTTTGTTGTTCAAATTTAAGAGAGAAGTTTTATCTTTTCAAGGAATGCCAAATTAATTACGGCATTAAATATTTTTGTCTTGGGAAAGGGATTGTTGTGTTACTAGTGAAGGTAAAAATTGGGCAGTTAGGAGTTAAGACTAGATCGGTATCTTCTATGTATGAGTATACTGCTACTTATAGGGTTTGTCTCATATTACTCACCTTCTTCATTTCTCCTCACGAGATGTTTGCTTCTAATTTGGAATAAACGTTTTAAATAGAGCTACACTAATTTGGAGTATGTGCTAAGATAGACATTGCTTCAAAATTATACTATGTATTTTCCTCGCATCACATATATATATATATATATATATATATATATATATATATATATATATATATATATATATATATATATATATATATATATATATATATATATATATATATATATATATGAAATGCAATTAGCAAAACAAAAATTTAATTATATAGTGGCCAACAAGTAATCAATAGAATAATAATTTAGATTTGTATTAACTACTCAAAGGTATTTACTTATTTGTTATTTTTTCACTTTTTACACATATCAATGAAATTAATAAATATTATTATTTTTTAAGTCATAAATCTTCTTTTACCTATAATACCCTTGATTATTTATTATTTTTATTTTATTTTTTCTCTTTCTGTAATAAATATATAAGAGTAATTTTGACAAAAATGCAGTTATTACTATCTTGAACTTTGCAAGTGATAATTAAAAAGGAAAAAAAATTATTAAGAAAGTGACACTTACAAAAGAACGAAAAGAGTAATAATAAAAACAAATATTTAATAATATTATTCGGTTTGGGATGAGAAATGAAAAATGTTGGGAATGAGAAATGAAAGATGATCGGTGTTGTGTTTCCCCGCGGTGGAGCAATACTCTTGATGCGACGAAGTGAGGTAGACTTGTAAGGTTAACACTTCAATGTTAAAGTTAGTGAAAGAAATTAGAAGTGGTGTATGAGTCAGAATGAATTTGAATATCTAAAATGACACAATTTACCCTTATATATCAAGAACAGTGAAATGTTAGCATGTGATGCGGGGTACTGTGGGATAATAATCTAATTGGATGAATTGTGATTGATCCACTAAAGAATGAAATTGTCTGTTTTGGCCAAACGAGGGTCTATTTGTTTTTTGTGCCTCTTAACTCGAGGTTCAGTCTTGCGTCTTTTGTTATGAGCCATGTGAATGGTCCAAAATAGTTGTCCCCTAAATCCTTGTTTATATTATGTAGAATGAGAGCTTTGTTATATACATCTTTAGGCTTGTTATTAAGATTAGTAAGTGATGAGATTTAATGAGACATCACTAGCATTAGAACAAATGCTTTAAATATTTCTCTCTTAATCAACTATGTTTAGCATGGAAGTCATGACACATGTACCTATGTATGTCGATAATAATACCCTTTTTGTTTTAGGATACTCAAGTACCTTGAACAATTCACTATAAGATCTCGACCATTGGTAATGTGGTTCCCACTTCCCAGTTTGCATGGTCCATTATTGTAGAAATGCATATAAAAAGTTCATGGACTACGAATCTTTTCGTTTTACGCTGTTTGTGGATTTGAGAAATTCTTCTTTCTTTTTGTTAGCAATTTCTTCCATTACTGCTAAGTTTCTTGCACGAGTTTTGATCGCTATTTAGTATGTCTAAATGCTTCGTGACTGCAAGTGCACAATTTAATCGCATAGTTTTAAAGATTATCGAACCCAAAGGACCAAGAATCGATATACCGCTATCTAATGCTACTACGTAAATCTAAGGCTAATGAATTTCTAAATTTGGGATGCGAGTATGGAAATAAGTGCAAATTGAAATATAATTTAAATCAAGATAATGTGGAATATCGGTATATAATTCTATCAATCATCGGGGGTTCAGTAATTCACTGATGTTTAGTTTAAAAGGAAAAATTGTTATTTTGTAGAAAATAGTCATTTAAAAGACTTTATCTCACACTCTCGTGTTTATTGACTTAGGCTATACTCTCAAATCAAAATGAAGGCTCTCGCTCTCTCATTTGTATTTAAAAACACTTTTTGAAAATAAGTAGATCCTAATTAACCCTAAAGTGCTCTCGTTGTATTTAAGACTAATGTTCAGTTTCAGCTATCCGGTTAAGACGTCAAACTCTCGCTTTATTGATCTTAACCTTCGTTACCTTTTCACTCTCGTATCAAAAGTTATTAAGTTATTAAAAAGAAACTGAGACCAGAAGAATAGATCTGTTAAATTCACGCCATGATTTACTTAACCCCTTCCGACCGATCGTGATTACATACCGATACTAAAAGGTTTAGCCAGAATGGCTTTCATGCTATTACAAAATCTAATCTTAATGCCCCAGAAAATAAAAGGGATACATAAAAATAACAATAATAATAAAAGC